CCCCAGCTCCCAAAGTCATCCAGCCACAACAGAGTGAATTCCTCAGGGAGCTGCCGGTCTCATCCTCTTGTTCCTCCCACGCTGTTCTGGCGAGCTAAGAAAATGTTTATCTCCCTGAGCCTGGCCTTCATAATTCCATTCCATCACACTAACTTAATTATAACTTTGGTAATAATTTCATTCTATTTAACATATATTTCTTGGGGGAATAAGATATTTCATAATGATTAATGGCTAACATAATGGATTTGAGCTAAATCTATTAGTGCCTTTACCTACTTTTGGCAATGTGATTTTCATCCAACAAATGGTTTCCAAAATAGTTTCTTTCACCAGTTTTTGATATTTGCCCAGACTTACTGCCAAGAAGTGTCCTTATTTTAAAAAATCCATACGAGTTTTGCAATTTCTAATGAAGGATTTTGCTGCTCTTGAGCAAAATCAATTGTAGTCTGTGGGCAAATGGTATCAACGAACACAGTGAAATCAAAGGCTTGTAATAATTACATTTATGCATCTTACATAGGCACACTTACGCAGAGAAAGCCAAATGTTCTTTGGGTCTTGAGACAGTTGGTATGCTCCAAGTCCAGCTAACCCTCCAAAAAGAAGACCAGCAGCTAAAGATGGGACACTACCTTGAATAAACAAAATGAACTGTGCTTGTTAAAGGGAACTAGACATTGGACAGACAGTAGTATTTTTGTTGTTGTTGTTGTTATAACCATTTGATAGGATATTTTTAGATTTCATTGGGGTTTTAGTCTCCTTGTCATTCTCTTAAACAGAAAGGATTAAGTACTGCAAGTCGGGCAGCATCATTTACTCCATGATATTTTAAAAGATTTTGGCATCTGAAGGATTATAAATGGAGGAAGAAAAGTAGAGGAGGATAGCATGGAGAAAAACAGGAGGGAGTAGAAGGGAAAGGAAGAATGGTCAGTATATTGTTAAAGAAATTGAAGCCCCTTACTGAATGTTGGTAATAAAACTAAATTGAGATATGAAAAATATAAAGAGTAGAGTTTTATCTTTTTGTTTGTGTGCCTTTGAGTCAGTTTTTGACTCCTGGCAACTGCCTGGACTAGTCCCTGCAATTTTCTTGGCAAGATTTTTGAAAGTGGTTTACCACTACCTGCTTCCTAGGGCTGAGAGAGAGTGACTGGCCCAAGGTGAGAGCCAGCTGGCTTTGTTTTGCTTCTCGCCTGGCGCCTTAACCACTACACCAAGCTGGCTCTCACAGCCTTATCTATTTAGCTGGTAAGTAGATACGGCTGTACTCTTTAAGAGTTAAGGCAAGCTGAAATTCTTTGGTCTTTAGATGAGTATCCCAAAGGCCATAGGATAGATCAGACTGTCACTTTGGAAGAAAAAGAAAGTGCTGTTGGAAGAAAATGCAACCTTAAGGACCCTCTTGAAAATTCCAAGTCTCTTATCACTCCAGTGCTTGGTAGAGGCAAAAAGGAGTGGACAGTGGACATGACCCTAGGTAGATTGATGAAAGTGCTGGGTCAACAGGATTCGAAGCCTTCCTTTTATGTGTGTGCATGCTTGCAAGTCAGTCTGACTACATGTAAAAGTCCATGCAAGACATGGAACTTGACAACCAGACAACATAAATGGAGTCTCTGTGCCCTTACTATGGCCAAAAGACTGATATTGCAGCATATGTACGGCCTCATTCACTCAATGGATTGAAGACCTGATTGCGCTTGCTACTTATGAGCAGATTGCCTATAGACATAGACTTTGTATGGACAGGTATAATGAAATATGGGACTCATTTATACAAAATACAGGAGGTTAAAAAAATGATAGTCATATAAATGTATTGGAAATAAATACATACTTGAATAATATTTGCATTAGATAAGTATATATAGAATTGTAATTGTTTACTGTTATAATGATATATTAACATGATTTTTCTTTATTGTATTTATTTCACTCTTTTGTTAAAGCACTTTCTATATGTTTTTTTCCTTCTTCTCAAATAATAAATAAATAAATAAAGCCCATGCAATGTCCTTGGCAGCATTTTTGGAAGTGGTTTGCCTGGCCTTTTTCCTAGGGCTGAGATTGGCCCAATGTCATCCAGCTGGCTTCATACCTAAAGCAGGACTAGAACTCATGGTCTCTAGCCTCTGCACCAGTGTTTCTCAACTTTGACAACTTTTAAGATGTGAGGACTTCACCTCCCAGAATTCCCTAGCCAGCATGGCTGGCTGGAGAATTCTGGGAGTTGGTCCACACATCTTAAAGTTGCCATGATTGAGAAACACTGCTCTACACCAAACTGTCTCTCAAAGCCTTCCCTGTACCCAGATAAACCTCTGGTCCAGAAAGAATTATACCCCAGCCCAGCAGTGGTATATGTAATTTCCTACCATTTTTTCCATGGCAAGGAGATAATTAAAAAAAAAAATCTTGAAAGGGGGAAGAAGAAAGCAAGAAAATGCCGTTCCTTTTTTCCTTTGGCATGTCAGGGCTTAGGATTTGGCTCAAGGGAGTCTTTGGCTTACGGATTACTGTTAAAAGTTTGGATGCCACAGCTAACCCAGCTGTTTTTTATCCAGGAATTTGTTATTCACTCTAAATCCTTCTTAGGATGAAATCAGAATTTGAAATTGCATCCAAGTTGTGTAAAGTACATCTTGTGCTTCAAAACCCCCACTTTTCATAATTTCAATGCAATGTCAAAGAATACTAATTGCTTGCCTTAAAAAAAAGGAAATGGTAAACAGTGTAAAATGTATTCCTGCTTTTCCCTAATCCAGCATTCTCTTCATAAAAGTTCACATTGACTTTGATGTCCTTAAAATAAACCTTTGGAGTGCATTACTCTTGCAGAGGATTACCCTGTGTTACTCTACGAAAATGGCTGAGGAGACTGTTTTTAGTTCCATTATGAGTTTATATATGGAGGTGACCTTAAAAAAACTGAGGAAATATCAATGTTTTTGAATTATTGTTGAACAGTCCTGTTAATCAAATTTGCAAGGGCTTTCAGTATTGATTGCTAATATTTCTTGTTCTATTTACAGGTCAAACCTAATTGGAACTGAAGCATCACAAGCTCTATTAAAAGGACTTAAGATTTCCTTTTATTGAGCCAGATCTCTCTCATCTCTACAAGACCACCATGAAGATACAAAAAGACTGACATCATACTTACAAATACACTTCAAAAGGCCCTAGAAATACACGCCAGTATTGGGACTCAAAGATCTCTTTAAAGTTGTCCAAGCACATGCCTTAAAGACGTGGCTGAACTCTTTGCTTTTATTTTCATCTGTATGACCTCTAACCCATAGTGGAGTTCAGATGAATCACAAGAACAACAAAATAGCATTTGGATCTGTTCACCTATTCTGAATCCACCTCCTTGACACTTATCCTCAGGGGCCATATGTGTAGTCAGCACCCCATTTTATCAAAGCCCTGCCAGAAGATCAAATGGAAACCTGTATATGACATGAAAAAGTCTTACTGCCAGTCTATATATATATGGCTTTTAGAGGCAGGTGGGATTTATACATGCAAACTTAGAAGATAGGCCAAGGGAATTTTTGCTGCAAAACTCTGATTTTCACCACTGTTATTACCAGTTCCCTATTATTCATTACTTATACCTAGTTCATGATTATTTATTAAAAATGCAATTGGTGCTGGTGACAGGAAAGCACATAGTTTTCTTCCAAGTACACATAAGTCAAAGTCCTTATCTTTGTAGAATCTTCTATTAAATCAGTGTAAAGACCTGGAAAAAACACTGTGTTCCCCTCAAAAGCACTCCAGGAAAAGGAGAAAACTAAATTTAAAAAATACTACTTTTTTTCTTTCAAAATTAAAATTAAAATACATTATTTTAATTGATTTTCAAGAAATCAGCAGTCATACTCTTCATAAATCAGTTTTGAAGTAGAAAGTGTCCCATTAATTGATGAAAAAATATCTATTTTTTGAAGTTCATGAATCTCAGACAGAATATGGATCTTTCAAACACTAATTAAAGCAATAAAAGTTCAAGCAGTATATCATGGAGTATGCCCTCCATCAGTAGTAATAGCTGGAAAATATTACACCTCAATGACAAAGATAATTTTTAGAAAGTTGTGGCTAAATCTGCAGAGCTTACCATGTTTCGTTCACATTTACAGGTAGTCCCCGCTTAACATCCACAACTGGGACTGGAATTTAGGCCGCTAAGCGATGTGGCCATTAAGTGAATTATCATGTGACCACTTTGCTTACTGACCACTTTGCTTAGTGACCACAATCCCGGCACTCCCGGCTGCTGTTGTTAATTGAGAATCATGGGTCATTAAGCAGATAGAGTCCCAGGTAAGGAGCACGGGAGTGCCTCAGGGGTGGGGGATACCCTGGCAGGCTCAGTGCAGGCCACACGCGAGTTGGGGGGCTGCAGTGAGGCACAAAGCTGTAGCTGCCCCTGAAAGCCTCAGCCGCCCTGGCACAGCCCAGCAGTGCTTACAATTGCAGGGGCACTGAAACTCCCCTCAGCTGCCTATCTCCCCCCCATCTATGCCCTTTTGGCCCCCCTGCACAGCAGCCCTCATCAGCGGCAGTTCCAGAGCTGGGGCTGAAGTAGAGGCCCGAGACCTTCAGCAGTCTCAGCCAGTTGCAACTGCCCCCAGGCCTTGACT